CATTTCTCAGGCAGTGGATCACAGGAGGTGGAAGCCAGTGAGGATTAAAAGGGGAGCTCCACAAATTTCCCACTTATTTTTTGCTGACGATCTCTCCTTTGTTTGCAGAAGCTTCTCAGGAGCAAGTGTTAATAATTCAACAGGCCTTACATATATTTTGTGATTCATCTGGTCAAAAAGTCAATCATAGTAAGACTAGAGTTTTCTTTTCTCAGAATGTGGGTCATACTCAAGCAAACCATCTTAGTGGGCTTCTTGGTTTTTCTTTGACTGCGGATTTGGGAATTCCTTTGCATCATAAGCGAGTGGGTCGGTCATCTTTCTCTTATGTTTTGGATCGAATGAATTCTAGAATTGCTGCTTGGAATCATGCCAGTCTATCTCTAGCAGGTCGTGTTACATTATCTAAAGCAGTGTTATTAGCAATCCCATCATATCCAATGCAGGTGTGTTCATTACCGCAAGTCACCTGTGAAGAGATTGATAGGAAGATTCGAAATTTTGTTTGGGGTTCATCTCCACACTCTAGACGTTCTCATCTTGTGGCCTGGAAGCAGATTTGCATGGATAAAAAAAATGGAGGCCTTGGACTGCGGAGTATGAGGGAAATGAACTCAGCATTTATCATGAAGGTTGAGTTCAACCTCGTAGCTCATCCAGATGCCTTGTGGTCAAAGTTCTTACGTGCTAAGTACAATGTGGAGGCAGGCATGACACCAATTATTCATGCTCCAAACAGCAGCTCCCAGCTTTGGAAGGGAATTACGCGTCATTGGAATATTATAATGGATCATAGTCGGGTGCAGTTAGGCAATGGTCAGTCCACTATGTTCTGGCTTGATAGCTGGCTGCCCGATTGTGGTCCTTTGATCTCATATGCAGGTTCTCAGTTTTCTATTAGTGATACTCTTCAGAAGGTGGTGGACTACGTGGATGAATTGGGGCAATGGAAATGGAATTCTCTTCGACAATTGCTTCCAGATTCTGTGCTGCATCGATTTATGAATTTTCTTCCTCCTTCTAGTCAAGATGGCCAGGATCATTTAATTTGGAATGGAACGACAGATGGCAAGTTTACTGTTAAGTCAGCATATGCAATATTAGCCATCAAAGATACTACAATCCAACAGTTTCCTTGGGAAAATGTTTGGAGATGGCAGGGGCCAGAAAGAATTCGCTTTTTTCTTTGGTTAATGGCAGGGGAGAAGCTGATGACTAATGTTTGTAGACTCCGCCGCCATATGGCTCTTTCAGATCTGTGTCCTAGATGTAATCAGTCTAGTGAAACTATCCTTCATACTATTCGCGACTGTCCACAATCAAAGGAAGTATGGTGCATGATAATGCCTCATATAAATCAGCGTGAATTTTTCAACCTCAACCTGCACAATTGGATCATTTCTAATTTAGACAGCTCAAAGGATTGGGGGATGGGGTCAGACTGGCCTCTTTTATTTGGAATCTTAGCCTGGAAAATTTGGAAATGTAGGAATTCTTGGGTTTTTGAAGGTGATCGCCATAATGCTTATTCACTTATCCGTTCAGCAATTGGTTTCAGAGATAGTGTCGCTCTTGCAGCTAACCCTGTTTTTGGAGCGGGCAATCAACCAAGGAATCGAATAGAGAGATTGGTTGCTTGGTGTTGTCCTCCTGTGGATTGGGTTAAGCTTAATGTTGATGGTGCATGTGATGCTAATGGTACTAGGACTGGGTGTGGAGGAGTTTTTCGCGATGCCTCAGGAACTTGGATCGTCAGATTCTGTTTTTGCAGCGAACGCGTTGTTGGCCAACCGAGTATCCGGATCAGCCGATTGAGAGATACGCGCATCCAGATCTCCAGGATGCTGGGAAGGGTTGGTTCTTGTTGGAGCTACGTTCGCCCCAGCCCCCTATCTCGATGCGCTGGAGTTGAAGCAGTATCTGAGACATCGTCTTCGACCTGGACGTGGTCGTAATCCACGTTATTTCCAATCTGGTTCGGAGGCTGGTTTACCTCTTCCAAGACTGGATCCAATGGTTGATTCCTGTTCGGGGGTGGCTGCTGGCTACTGCTCCTCGTCTGAATTGCCATTCCTTCTCAGATTTGGTGGGAACTTCAAATTCAAAGAAGAAAGTCCCCACAGACGGCGCCAATGTTCTGTCCTTGAGACAGAGATGTCTAGCCCAATAGACTAGTATGTTAATCTTGGATCCGGTGCCCTCTCCAAGGTATCTATGGATGAGATACCCTTGAGTCAAGCAGATCACTGTGCACAGAATACTATAACGGCGTTAGACAATGGGGTGTGTGTGTGCACACAGTGACAACATAACAGTAAGAGAGAGAGAGCGTACGTACCTTTAGGATTTACCTTTGTATTTATAGAGGTTACCTGTAGGTAGTGTGGATGGGCCTTTGGTTCCTACGGTGAGGGTCCAGGCCTGATAGCTATGCTGTCGCATTGGATTAGTATCCTTGATGGATATCTATCCTTTATTAGCATCAATCCATATCTTCGATTGCCCCTTGTTGGGCTTGCTACTTAATAGGCCCATTATACGGGTCCATAACACCTAGCTATTCAGAAATGCATGTAAAAAAGGAACAATGTATTGTTGAAGAAGCCCTCTCACAACATGGTATTTGTGTGAAAATCTGGATAAATAAAAAAGGGATAAAAACGTGACAAGTTCACCCCTCCTCTTAATAACCACATGTGAGCAAAGTCTCTCTATACTACCCCAAATCCGAGTAGGTGTCTGACAAAGCTCCATCAACACAGCTCAAGGGACATATCGTCCACCATTTGCTTCATTGTAATAGACAGTAACCCTCTCAAGTTGAAGATGACAGTTTCATACATAATTTCCAGTTGCATCTATCCCATGTTCATCACACATAACCTCCCAAAACTTGCCTCCATTTTGGTTTCCACATTGACCAGCTTGAACGTGGAGGATTTCTCTCATTTTTAACAATTCCCCTTGATGATATCAAAAAATCTCAAATGAAAATAAGATGATTCAACAAAAAGCTTCAGAACTGTAACACTGAATCAGATCAAGTACAAGTTGAGAGGGGAGGGTTGGAATGAATGGCCTTTTGTAGGTGCAATGCAAGAGGAGATAGGATGATAAGATTGATAAAATTGGTACTTCCCTTTCTGTGAAAAAGAAAATATATTAATAGAAGTTAAATTAAATGTTCAAGTGGGTTTGTTGGCAAGGGGTCATCTCAAAGGTTACTTTCGTCATTTCCATTTTTACCCATCAAAATTTTATTTTCAACCAAACATACATCATAATTTTAAACCCAATTTTTTCAGTAATATTTTGCGGTACCAAACAATTTTTTTTAAACTTTCCTACCAAACTTACTTTCCTACATTTTTCCTTGTAATTTGTTGCGAAAAATCGGCAAGTGTACCGATCGTTCCAAGTAATAAAAGGGTAAGTAGAGTATTGTCTTCACGAGGATTGAGGCACCAAAATTATTTTAATTATTCCTCTCTTGTTGGATTAATAAAATTGGTTTGAGAATAATTGGGTTGTAAAAATTGAGAACAATTCAAAAACTTATGAATAATTCAAAGATGCTTTTGAAACCTTGAGAATAACAGATTAAAATTGAGAAAATATTTAAAAGAATATTGCGGTAAAAAATGCCAACACCTTTATGATCCCCACCTTATAATCTGAATTAACATTTACATTTAATTTATTTATTGATCAAACAATTCACCATATTTTAATTGATTAGTTAAGCCCTAATTCCTTAATGATCTTAACTTTTTTAACCCTATTAGAATCCTAATCCCTTAGAAATTCCTTTTCAAGTTAATCCTTTTAAACCAGTGAATGTTTCACGTTTGCAATTCATGTAGCTTATCCCTAGTGCATACATGAATTGTTATTTTACCCTTTGTCAGGTTCTAGAATCTCAATATTCTTATTGAAAACCCTAACCCTCGCAATCCTAATAGAGTGATCGGTTCTAAAAGAATTATAAGATGAAGAACAGGATAAAATAAATGCAATTGAAATAATTAAATATAAAAATTAACCAAACTACAAGGGGTTCACATCAAGGGTTGTGACCCTTACCACAATAATAAAAGACTAGCCAGACATGTTCATGTCTGACAATTTAATGTATGAAAAAGAATTCATGAATAAAATAATAACCAAAAAATTTGGGGAAGAAGAAAGCTGAAATCTTTAATCCAAGAGCTTGCTCCTCGTTCTTCTTTCGTCAATTTCTCTGTGCAAAAGTTGTGTTTTTCTTTAGGATTTCAGACTCCTTTTTATAACCATCAATTCAATCAGGTCATAATCTTCCGAGAGATTTGATTTTTCTTTCCGTTTCTATCCAAATTAGCAATCAGGATGCTGAAATCACGACGCCGGCGCGATCAGCGCCAGTTCTGCGCGATTCGCGCGGGCAAGCAGTAGAGCACAAAGTGTGGCGCGACTAGCGTGGCTTTCACGCCATTCGCGTGAAGAAGCAGCGGGTCAGCTTTTTTGTGGCGCGGTTAGCGTGAGTTTCACGCCATTCGCGTGAAGAAGCAGTGGATCAATTGAAAAAGTCACGCCATTAGCATGAAAGGCCCGTGCTCTTCTTCCTCAGTTTTGTTTTCTGCTTTTCCTTAAAAAAACATAAAATTAGAGTGAAAATGTGACTGAAGATGGATTATCAATAATTTTTCAAAAACAATAACTTTGTTACTGAATTACTGTAAAATCCTTAATCTTTTTACTCTGAAATATCTATATGCCGAAGGCACATCATAATTACACTTCTCTGGTAAAAATTTTATTTCTCTGAACCAAACACTACCTTAGAGATCTCATCAGTCATCAGACTCGCACAAACTTAAAAAAAAGGAAAAAGAAGAAATATAGTGGAGGTAATGGTGTGCCGCGCATATTTTCTGAAACCAATAAAGCAAAGCGAAACAAATTACAGTACAAAGCTGCTTCTTTACAAAAAGTATGTACAAGTTATGCTCTATCATGTTTGGAGAATAAATCTTTGGTATTACTTCTGTACCTAGATTCAGTGTATCGTATTAATGAAAATATTATACATCATAGGAAAGAGAAAAAATTTAACAGAAAAAAAAAATTTAACTAACATGTAATATTTTTATTGGTAGGATGCACTAAATCTTTGATAAAGCAGTCCCAAAGATTTATTTGTCTTGGGATGATGGATGTTGCTTTAACTATTTCACTGTTCGATTGTTGGGGTACATGGCTTGGCACAATAGCATGGGCGGTACGGTTTATGCTGACATTTCTGGGGTACGGGCAGCGGCGTTGCCGGATCTTGGTTGCCGCAGAAGCTCTATTAGTGTCTCCGCCTGTTCGCATGTAGAGGAACAATAAACAACCCGATAAAATAAGATCGAGCTCCAGTTTCGCCATAAGACACGCAATCAAGATATTAAACTAGAGGACATTATTCTCAGACCCACATACGTGGATATTTCTTAATAATAACTTCATGAATTATTACAACATTAATTGGCTGCTGTTATAGTTAATGAATTTTAAATTTATGATTACGAAAACTAATAATTAATAACGTAACAATTTCCTAAATTAAAGCTAACAGCAGAGAAAGAAAAAGAAGAAGTTTGTAAACTTCAATTATTGCTTTAGACACTAGACGTGGCCAGAAGTTAAAAAAAACACATGGAAGACCATGCTATTATGCTAGCTCAGGGAGCAGACATTCATATCGTGCTTAAAATATTGCCAAATTAGAATAATGCTGTAAGATGAGGCCATTTTAAGTTATAACAAAAGAAATTTCTGGTGCTATTTTGGTGTAGCAAAAGGTTCCGTTAAGAAAGAGTGCTGAGGTGGCAGTAGAAGTTACTGGAAAAGTTGCAAGTAGCCATTGCATTGCACATGGCATAACTGGTTTGGAAACTCAAAACACATTACATTGCCACGTCAGTAACTTAATTAGTGTGGTGAAACCGTGAAAGGATAGCATAGAGAGCACAATTATAGACACGATTACTCACTCACCTTTTGCTTGGCGCGATTGGTGCCGGATTGCGACAAAGCAACCAATGGAGGAATGGCTCCTTCGCGACACACCATCTTACGATTAACCATACTGTCCTCGCAAATCTGCAATAAAATTACGACAGCGATTTCCTTTTGTCTTTGAGACCCAACCTCCACGATTTCCACCAGCACAGGAATCCCTCCTTCATCCACCAACGCCGTCCTCGCCTCCGCCACCGACGCCAGCACGCTCAACACGTACGCAGACTTGTCCACCATGTTGGATCCCAAATCCGCCATCAATTCCACCAACGGCTTCATAATCCCCGCTTTCACCGCCCTGATCTTGTTCTCCTTCACCGAACACAGCGAGTAGAGCGCCGTCGACGCGTCCTTCTTCCCGCGGAAACCTCCGTATTCTAGAAGGTTCACGAGGAGCGGAATGGCTCCTGACCTTCCAATTGACACCTTGTTCTCTTCTACCTGCGAGAGACGAAGCAGAGAACACGCTGCGTTCTCCTTCGCCGTTGGAGTCCCTGTCTTGAGTGCTCCAACAAGAGGCTTAATCGCTCCCGATAAAGCAATTAGCTCTTTGTTCTCTTCGCACAGCGACAGATTCAAAATCGCCGTAACACCGTACTCCTGAAGTTGAAGGTCCGGCGATGATGTAAGTGAAATTAACGGCTTAATAGCGCCGGCTTTCGCGATTTTGAGGCGGTTCTCTGGTTTGTTCTTGGCCAGTAATCTGATCTCCATGGTCGCTTGTTTCTGTTCCTCAATCGAACAGGACTCGAGACGAAGAACCAACTGACGAATGAGATCGTCGGAATTGTCGGAAGCGCAAGCGATCAGAAGGCCACGGCTTAGGGAAGAAGCCGTTGGGAATTCGCCGGATCTGTCGCTGTTGCAGTCGCTGAAAGCCGAAGAGGAGTCATCGTTGATACTCCGTCCCATGTACGTGTAAGTCGCCGGAATATCTGTTTCCATGTCTGTAGCAATCTCTATCAGAATTGACAAGTAAGTATGTTCTTTGTTTTAGAGAGAGAGAGAGAGAGAGAGAGGAAAAGGCAAACGATGCCAAATATATGGGACTGGGAGTTGAGCCGGTCTGGTCTGGACTGACACGTGCACATATTGAATGTTGATTGTTGACCGTACCAAATCCGAGTTGGGAAAAGGAGTAGCACGTGCCGTTGGGTGGTATCTTTAAACGCGTGCGTAGAAACTAAAAAACATCGTTATTCGGATTCGATGAAGAGTTTCTCGAAGAACTGACTGAGTTCATTTCATTTCATTTCTTTTCCAGAGTGAATTTTGGTCACGGTAGTTAGGTTTTTATCATTACATGGGCCCTGGGTACTATTTACTTAAAATCTTTTGGTGTGGATGGTGGGTCGCCTGCACATGCATTCTATGATCAATCATGGGAATTAGAGTACAGCTCAGACCACGCCCATGGCCGGTGATCATGGACATTTTTTTCAATACTCTGGGAATACCAAACTCAGTATTTCCTACTACTAAAAAGTAAATTTTTTTTTTTCATTTTAACCTTTATTTTTCTTTATATTTCAAAAACATTCCCCTTATGATACGGATGTAAACACAACTATTGTACCGAAAGTTTCCTCGTGATTGATTATGAAGCTTGGCCGCCTTCTACTCTTCTGTCTATTACTTTTTGTGAAAACTTCAAAAACTCTCCCAATAACTTTTCTCGTAATCATTTATCCTCTCTCAAAATTTTTGAATCATTTACTCTCCTGCGTTAAAGTTTTTTTATCATTTATCTCCCTAAGTGAGGCAGGTAAATAATAAAAAAATTTAAAGTCAAGGGGATAAATGATAAAAAAAAATTAAATAAGGAAGTAAATGATTCAAAAATTTTGTGAGGAGTAAGTGATAATTAAGAAAACTCACAAGAAGATTTTTGAAATTTTCCTTTAGTTTTTTTTTCCTTACGTGGTGCTCCCGGTTCCTTTTTCTTTTCTAATATTTTTCCCCTTATGATCACTTAGCTTTGATATTATAATAACTTATACATACTAAATGAATGTAGCTCCACATCAGAAAACTGAGTAAGGGAGAATGGAAGTATGTGTTTGATTCTTTCAAGTGTCATTTTTGGAAGGAGTTTAAAGATTTAATCTCATGACCTGCTTCAAATTGCATTAGTCGCGAAGCAATGAATCAATTAGAATATCTCCAAAAAAATAAAATAATAATAATAACTTTTAAATTTAATATAGGAACGTTTATACATTTATTATACGAATCTTTCTTATTACATTAGTATAATTTCGTAATGAGATTTATTATGACTTATTCAAATTTTCTTTACAATATTAAATACATAAATTAATAAATAGAAAATAGAAAATTTCATCAATATTTATTTTAATATAATAATTAAATAGATTATTGAGTAGATTTATTAGGAAATTCAAAACTATGCATTCCTAAGATACATACACGATAGAATAGTGAATAGGTAGGAATAGGAAGACTGCGAGAGTAAGAGTCAAAAAGTAAACAAGGGGAAGCCGTTTGAGGAACATTTCTTTATTGACGAGAGGCAACTGAGCTGATGATCAGTTGAACTCCGAATATGTGGGCACAATACACCGTTTTCGTTTCACTAGCTTCGAGCTCAATCAAATACCGTGAACAAAGGTACCTTGATTTTCTTTTCTTTTTTGTTTATTAAGCTAATAAATATTTTATATTAAATCAATTAAAGTGGATTAAAGTATATCTAGATAATTACATATTTAGGTACAAGAACCTTTGACATTGGTGTCGAACTAAAAACGTAAATTTTCATCAATCTAATGATTATAATTTATTAAGAATTAATAATCAATTAATAAATGTGATCCAATAAATTATATCCGTTAGATTCACGAAATCAACAATCAATATTGGGTGTCAAACTTTTTAATTTGATATCGATGTCAAAAAATTCTACCCCGAATATTTATATTTTTTATTTAGGTGTTGAATACTTTTTTTTAATACTACAGTTATCTCGTAAATATTTATTTAATTTTGACAGTAAATTACAAATTACATACTGTACTTTTTCCCTTTTTTTAATTTTCCTCTCTTAAGTTTTCATTTTAATTTTGGAATCATATAAAAATATTAACTTTTCAGTCAACTATAACATATTTATTATTTATTTTATACATTACCTCTTTATGTTTTAACTCTTTTAGAATCTACTCTCCTAAAACTATTTTCTTTTTCTTTTTATTATCACTAAACTACCTAATAACTAAAAAGCAAAGGATACATTGTAAATTGTTTAAAAATAATAAAAAGGTCTGTCATTTTAAACACAACTTTATATAAATTTAAATGAGACAACCGCATTTTGGTATATATCTGTTAGCTTTTTATATTTTTTTCTACTCTATAAAATTAGGAGAAAGGAGAAATATTCTAATGGAGAGAAAATATAAAAAATCAATGAATATGCACCAAAACTATGTTGTTTAATTTAAAATAGCATAAAGTTATGTCCTTCACAATATTAATATTTTTGTCAAAACTTTAAAGCATCGGGTAAAATTATGTTAATAATTTTATATCTCTCTAACAAGATTTGTGTAACAAACCTATCGTATGTAGTTTCAAATATTGTTCTCTTTTTATTGGTACTTACCCATTTAACCATGTTTGCTATCATTGTTTTATCATATAATTAAAAATATTTAAGGATATCAAAATTTTAGAAACAAATGGGTAAAATACTATTTAGGAATATATGTATTCCACGAATATTCGAATTTATGCAATTTATCCACAATTTCAGTTACGAGTTGAATGAAGCGCGCACCGACACTTTAAAAATCCTAACGTGTCGTGTCTGACACTTCCCGACACTCTCCGACACTTCGACACTCCCCGACACTCCAATACGCGTTATAGAAATTCAAAAAAGGTTCAATGGTTGCGTTGGGTTGAGTTTTTAGTTCCAACTAGTAAATTCGTTGGATTACGATTACCATTTTATTGAGTTTAATATAAATATTTCGAATATTTTATGTTTTTTTGCAAATTGAAGAATATTATAAGTTTAGTTTCATTTTTTTGTTAAATTATTGAATATTAAATAAAATACACACTACATAAATTAAAAATATTATTTAATATCAAAACGTGTCCCAACGTGTCGAAATCTAACATTTTTTACAATTAACGTATCGGAGTGTCGTGTCACGTATCCCGTGTCAGTATCGATGCTACATAGCCCGCTTCTCATCTAAATACGAGTCCCATTTTTGACAATCATAGGAAAACGTGAGAATATACATTATTGGGTAAAACTTGAGAAATGGATAAAAAAATACTGAGAAAAACAAGCATTGTTTTTGTTGTTTTCTTAGAAGATGTTTTCCCGTTCGATTGGTGAACAACATTCTAAGTGTCACTTTTAGCTCATAGAGGTGGAGAAATCTTCTGGATGAGATTAAGTCCACTGTCAAGTTCATTATAAGCAATCGGAGCGTACATCCACAAATCATCAGAGCTTAGAAGCTACAAAAGAAATAATAATAAAAGGTTATTATGAGGTGTGTATATGTGTTGATCTTTCTGAGAAATTAAGGATACGTCAAACTTATGCGATCCATGTCTCCTATTATTTTACCTTGATCTGGAGCTGCAAAAATTTAACGTAATGGACTGCCTCTTCAAGCATTGTGCTTATATCAACCTATATGACCCATCCATGAGATTAGTATATCTCCAATACAGTTGGCATAATCCCACCAACCCTTTTAAAAATGAAAAAATAAGGGTTCAGCGTATGTCATTCAAAAGGATACAAGTTGTATCATTTTAGTGAGTTACATAGAGTATGATCGGTCATAGTCTTTGTAATTCTGAAAAGTTATTTTTTTCACTTTACATGTCAGCGATGTGATTGAGGAGAGAAAAAAAAAATAACTTTTTAGATTTACACATAGTATAACCGGTCATACTATACTTTGTGTAAATCATCTAAAAGAAAACAACTTGTGTCCTTTTAAATGATAGTTTTTTTGTCGAAAAATAACTATGCAAACAATATATAGTACCTTTGTTCCATTTGGTACAAGATTCTGTAGAATTCTTAGTCTCTCATTTATTCTCTCTCTTCTTTTCTACAAGATTCAAAAAAGACAATAAGTTTCGAACACATAGTATGATATACAATCGCATCCCATAATGAAAGCAACAAAAGAAAGAGAGACATTGTATTCGAAGAAAGTAATTACCCTTGCATAAAGGCTCTGAGGGTCTGTTGCTGATTCCCTTCTAGCTCTTTTGTTGAGAGCCGCAGGTGATTTAGATGCTGAAATATCTCCACCACTGTTTTCCTGAGAAGCATTATCTTCATGCATCTTTGCACCTGAATTAATTTGGAATCCAAACACAAGCTGTTACAAATTCTCAGCTCTAACTAATGTCGAGTTAACAGAGTTAAGATCATAGATTATACTTACGTCTTCTGAAAAAGGAGTTTTTTTTCTTACCATTCCCATATGATGAGTTTGTGTTTATTTTATCTTCTATAGACACCTCCAATTCTGGCACATCAAGTTTCCTCTTGAGCTGCAATTGCTTGGAAGAGAAAAACATTGATTCCACTGTACAGTAATCAGAATTCTCTGATTTATCACTTCTCTCATCTTCAGTCAATTTGACATTCTCTTTCATTTCAATGTCAGTGAGTGATTGAACAAAAGAGAAATTAGAGACAGGGTTTTTCTCATTCATCATGCAAAAATCCATGGATGTACATGTACTATTTGTCAGCACTTGATCAAGATAACCGAAATGGTAGTTTGTAGGGTCACGGCAATTGTTACTTTGAGAAATATACTGCAAATTAGAGTTGTGAGCATCAAAAGAGTAAAACATACTCTCACTTCCCCCAGCTTCAGGGGTGGACCAAAACATGGATTGTATTCCAATGTTCCCATCATCAAGTGGGCTTTCACCAAATAATTGTGATGAGTAATCAAGCTCTTCGATGGCAAGAGTTCTGCCAAACCAACCCCATTCTTCACCAGGGAAGGCTTCAGGACCAAGATGTTCCATTATTTTTTATTCCTGTGTGCTTGCTTAGAAGCCAAAGGGTACGTATTCTTTAATTTTGTGGTCTAATTAATGCCACTGCAAAGAGAAGCTAACTGGTGCTTGTCATCAGCAGAAGCTTGGGACTCATTTATACCCAATTCAAAGAAAGAATCTTAGTACGAGGATTGACTTCCAAGAAAGAATCTTTATTCATAATTATTGTCAGGGTGGATTCCACTGTGAGGGGCCAGTACCAGGCCCACAACAACTCAGGGGAATCAAAGTGTTCATACCATGATATATAACAATTTAGAATGATATGATTCTTCAATAGCCTTTGACTCGTTAAAACTGTCATCAAAAGGGCAATGGAGGTCTAAGTTTAATCATTGAGAGATAACTAACTGTGATTGATAAGTCTATTAATTAATGGCGAAAAGCTGATAGCGATATATCATGCGCGTTTCTTTTTTATGTTGTTGTTGTAGAAACGTGGGAGTCTCCATGAAAGGATAAACAGAAAGAATTGTGTAAGGAAATAAACAAAAGCAGTTCATGGGCTGCCACATTGTGAGGATGAGTCTGACATTCTTTAAACTACATTATAAGACCCACATAGCAACCGCGATGCTCGCTGACTGTCTCCTGAATATTGCATTATAAGATTAAGGATCAATACATACTCCATTCAACATTCCCACATCCTAATTAGTATATAACATGCATGTTTTGATTTAACTTATTTTGTATTTAAGATGGCTTATAATCAAAAGTTTGTTGAGAAATCAAAACCAAACATGTTTCTACTGCAATATCGCTGATTCAATCATCACATGGAATGATTTTTGTATTATGGATAGCAACTAATTTCAAAATTAATTAGGAAAAAAAGTTAATCAATTATATGTTTTTGAACTTCTGATTATTGTTTTGACATTTCTGAGTTCTTCAGACTTTCCAGCATATTGGCATTTCCATATAATTTGCATATGATTTATACACACTTGATATATTTGGAGCCTATCTCGTAGAAGTTATGATAACCAAAGAACAGAGTATTTATTTGAATTCTTTTGATGAGAATTATTGTAGCCAGAAGTTATGATATTAGCTGAGCATGCAAGTTGTATGTCTGCTTTCTTTGAATTGTCCTACCGTTTGAATACTTTTGTAGAGAAGTTAATTACTTCTTGTCTTTTTCTTGTTATAAGTAGTATTTTTTTGTTTCTAATCTATGTTGGGGGGGAAATATTAAAATACGTTATAATTATGTTGAAAAGATATTAAAAAAATAGAATACAATAAGTAGGAGCAAAATAGACGAGATTAAGTTAGGTTAGGCCCCTACGCAGGCATAAAATATCAACATGATCTGTCACCGATGAATCTGACCTAACCATTTTACGAAAACATAAAAACTTATTTCAAGATTTATATTATATAAAGGCTTTCAAATAAAATAAAAAAACTTATTGATGCACAGTTGACTAGAAGCAAATACTAATAGGGCCAAAAAGCAAAAGTTTTCTGTAAATAAAATTAATTCCAAGTGATAACCCACAAAATTTTTAAAAACATACCTATACAATTCAAAACTGATTCCAATTAGTATTCAAACAATATCAATTCTTTTAAATGCACTTTTAAAATATCATTCCTAGACGTATTACTTTTTAACATCAATTCTGTCAAAATTAATTATTTCAACATCTACTTTACCAAAGATAAGACCATAAATTGTTTTGAGATTTGAAGTGAAAATTAGTTTGTGTAATGCCAAATAGACACCGTTACATAATTATTGGTTAAGGTGTATATAATAAAGTTATTCATATGCACCTAGTTTAAAAGGAAATGTAGGCTAAAATTACATGCAAATAAGGATGTGAATGAGCCGGATCAGATTATACTCTAGTCGAAACAGGTCAAGTCTATACAAATTGTTTTCAGGCTGATCTGACTAATTAATTTGATATAAGCTACATATAGACTTGGTCTGTCCTAGGGGTAATAAACGAGCCAGGGGCCTTTGGCTCGGCTCGTGAAGACCTGAGCTTACATGCCTAATATTGGTTGTTGGAACCAGACTTGGACTTGTATAAAAGCTCGTTTAGTAAAAAAGCTTCATGCTCCAATTCAAAAGCTCGGCCTTAGAGCCTCTCAGGCTGGCCTAGTATATTATTTATTTTTATTTTTTTATACTATTTGTAATATCCGTCTCTCTCCTCTTAATTCATTTCACCCCTATTTTATTAGTTAAACAGACTTTTTAAATGATTTTGTTCTATATTATGTTGTTTGGATATACATTGAATTTATGAATATTTATAGAATTACTAGTGTTGTTGATTGTATATTCTGTTTGGATAAATTTTTGTTATCTTATTTTTTTTCTAACAGGCAAAATCAGACTTTTATATTTTGTAAATAAGGCAGGCCACAGGTCAATAATTATATTCGTAACAGGTAACAAACTTGGTAAGGCCGACACATTTAAACACAGGCTTAGCCTTTTAAGACCAAAACTCGGCTCGGCCCGTTAACACCCCTACTCTGTCCTATATTAAAAAATCAGAATATCTAGTAACCTGTTTAAATCTATGAAACCTTCCATTATTATCAAAATTATAAAAAAAATATAATTTTTTTTTATTAATTAAAATTATATAAATAATTATTTTATTTATTTAAATTAAAATAAATAATGTTATATAAATTATCATATAGGCTTGTTTTCTAAACTAATTTTTTTAAGACTCAAACCTGATCTATTTTACTAAATATATTAGAATTCTAAGTCAATTTTGAGGCAACTTTGTGATAATTAAACTAATCGGGTTTCGTGGTGGTGGAGGAACTATAATCACCAAGTTTCGGATGGATTTGGGATGGACTGGTGTGATTTCTCTATGCCTAGAGTACCATGATATTGAATCATGAACGAAGAAAGACATGAGATAAAAGAAAGCATATTGATTATTGACCCAAATTCTTGATTGGGGGGACACCAAATGCCTCTGCCCTTCCATACCCTGGATAGATCGAGAGGGAGCGCAGAGCTTTTGGTTTTTACATGCAAATACTTCTAAACAAAATTCGATTATAGGGTGAAGTAGCATCTACACCCATTTTACCATTCTAAATACTGTAGACAATGTTAGTATGACGAGCTGATTGCACATTCAATAATGCTCGCTAAGTATACATAATTACTCTATTCCTCCTAACCAACGAAGACAAAAACAAAACCCCCGGAAATAGGACATACATGAAAGTCTCTGCTCCATCCATAGCAGATTTTAATCGGTCAGATGCATGAGCCACCTTTCCCAAGAAGGGGAAAGATGTCAGTAGACGAGGGGCTATGCACTGTCTATGCACCTCACTGAAATTCAACCCTTCAGAAAATTCGGTTTCACATGTAGCTACCATCCAAACGGTTTCTGACCAGATGCCTAAGAGCATGGTATCTTGGCAAGTAAGAAATGTATGTCGATTGGCTTAGGCACTCAATAACCACTCAATCCAGAGAAATGCTTCTTCATGGCTCGGTCCTTCCTGTAATGATTGTCTCTTCCTCCTCCTCCTCCTCCTCTCCCCCTCCCTCTCCCTCTCCCTCCTTGATTTGAAATATGCCCTTTCCCTTCCTCCTCAGAAACACCAGATTGTTTCTCCTGCTGCTGCTGATGAGTTTCAATTTGTTTTCCCCCTTCCCTCCTTCCCCTGCCTCCGGTATTGCCCAAAATCCCTCTCCCTTGTGTTTCAGAAACATCGAATTGTTTATTATCATCCTCCTTGTACGAATCTGTAAGCTTCTTTACCGCACCAAGAGGAAGGTTGCCACCCCGTCCAAGACCATGTATTAATTCATTCTGAGCTTGAGTAACTAGCGAAGCTTCATCAGAATTTGCCACCGCTACTGCACCTGCCACTTTGTAGCTGTAATTCTTACCATCCTTGACATAGTACTGTGGCTTTTTCCTTGAGCCCCATTTTGAACTAGGGGCATTTTGGACCGAGTTTCCAGTCTCTGTTGCCCATGATTTCCCTAATTTTGCATTCATTTTGTCACCCAGCATTTCATTTTCTTCTACTCCAGAGTCAGCTACACTTAGACCCAAGTCATCAAAAGAGTCATCATACTCGTCGTCATATTCATATTGTAAAAGCATAGCAGATTTTGATATATCTTTCTCATCCTTTTTATCCAGAATACTGAGATCAGGCATGTCCGCTTTAGATTTCCTCACAAATTTTCCAAGTGAAGCAGAGGATGACATCGATAGCCCCTCTGTCTGTTGCTTCCCACTAACAACTTCTGTATTTATGGACATTGACGTTGAATCAATTAATTTACCTTTCCCTTTATCATTCCCGCCCACGGCTGTGGACTTCGCTGGTGGCACCATCTCTAGCGAAGGGTCCAAGCACTGCAGATCTTCATGAAGTGTTCCTTCTAAAATTCTTTGAATAACCTCCTCGGGGTTCTGGTCATAGACCTCAAGACACGCAGCTAAAAAACCTTTACCATAATCAGGGAACAGGTCCCGAATTTGACTGATTTTTGACTCTATAATGGCAGCATTTTCATCCATCTGCAATGTTTGGTTGGGCACAGGGGTTATTGCAGAATATGGCCCCTTATTATAAATCTCCTTGGGAGAACTCAAAATCCCAGATATATATTGAAACTGTTCTTCATCAACGAATATCCATCCTGAATCAAAGTAACTAGTTTAGAAAAACAAAAGGAGCAAGCATAAGCAATAAGCCATGATTAATAGGAAAATAAAATAAAAAATGAAACAATTTTAAATAATTTTGAAGGGTCAGACAGACCTAATTCCACCTTATATTTAAAAGGAGAAAAAAGGTTTGGTCTTATAAAAACCTTCACTGGATCAAGTGCTTTGCCAAAAACCGTACTAAGCCCAGCAATTTATGTACAATTCCTACAAACATATGTAACTGATTTATACCCATGGAAGTATAAGATCATTACCATTATCCTTCAATCTCTCAATCCTGCTTAATATATTGAAATTCCTTTCAACATCTTGAAGAAATGTTTCCTTCTGATGGAAATCCTGAAATTGTAATGATACAGAATTGATCTCTCTAAATGTTTGAACCAGAATATCTGCTCTGATGACAGGGTCCTCTACATTGGCGGGAAACATCTTCGTGGCAGCTGGAAGAGGGATGCTATCTCTGAAAACTTCATCACTTAGATAGCACAAGTGCAATAATTGCCACCCAAACTTCACCAATCTCATTCTTAACATCTTCAAACTTACTAAAATATTAGATACCGTGCCATCTTGTTTGTCACCAAAAATGATGTGGAATCCCTTTTGCAAGGATGGAAGTAGTGAATCATGCAATCTGGCAAGGAGGCTTAGCAGTTCCTCATTCCCATAACTATAACAATACAGACCAGAAAAACATCAAAATTTTATAGAAAAATTTCAATTGTCAATCTTAATCATAGATTTTATTTTGCCCCTAATCAACACAGAATCTTTAATGCATGATAGACCAAATGTAATTGTAAAGAACTAATTTAACCCAAAAGCTTAAGTTGCTGGGTGAGGTTACATTAATGGTTTTATATTTTTCTAACACGCCCCCTCAAATGAGAGCCTATTGGCTTGAGGGTGGATGATGCATCAGGCCCAGCCTATCTGCGCTAAGAAACTCTACAATATTTAATTATTTTTATTAATAGAATGAAGGGCGGTGAGGATCGAACTCGTGACCACTTGGTCACTAAGGCTCTGATACCATGTAAAGAATCAATTCAACCCAAAAGCTTATGTTGTTGTATGAGGTTACATTAATGGTTTTATATTTCTCTAACAATAATGTTTGATCGTATTGACCGTCGAAATTTATTGCAATGCAATCAGCCTTTACTCATCATAAAAAAACCAAGTTTCAATGGTAAAAGGTACCTCATTTCAACTGGGCAAGAGAAGAATATAGCTGTGGGTTCGTATGCACTAACAAAAGCATCCATTGATACAATTGCATCATTTATAAAGTCCATTACCTAACACAAAAACAGATGGCATCAATATTATGCTGCATATGTCAAAGAAAATAGATAAAGAAAGACTCAACATTTTGTAATGTGAATTAATGAAATGCTACATGTTTTTAAGAAACAGCAGAGCCAATACACATTTCCCTGGCATGCAATATGCCAGAGCAAAACTAGACTTTAAATTGCCTTGAAGTATGGGCTGTAGCTATTGTCAATGAAAAATCTTATATGTGAGATGGTTAAAATATTATTCATCAATTGATTTCCTGTCAATGCCATATATTCAAAGTTTTCTGTAGCTATTCTCATATAATGTCCAGACTTAGCTGGATTATGGCTGCGACTGTTTCTGAGCTTTGCTGGAGTGTTCGTAGCTCCACCAGAAAAGGTAAGGTTAAACAGATGGCTTAGACTATTACCCAGCAGTATTATAGGGAGTACCTGGTTGGAAAAGAATGGGTGGTCATTCTAGAATCTAGATAAAAGCTCAACTTAAATGCTGAAGACCAGATGGGCTGGTCATTCTCTCTAGTGTTCTCATACTGTGGGTTTAGATGCTCAGACTCAGATAGTTTACTGTTTCTACTCCACTATTCCCTCCTTTCATGTTAAATTCTGTCCACATCCAGTTGGCTCATATGCTGCCTTTACGTATTTGTACTTTACCTCATGGCACTTTTCCAATAAAATAGATCATTAGAAATGGGGAAATAATAAATTCATTCAACTTTCTTTGTGAAACTAAGCAAATCTTTTCTCACTGGATGTAGCAAATCACAAACTTACAGATACAGAATTTGAAGCTTCTCATATCCGGTTCATCATCCCATGAAAAAAAAATTAGTTACAACCCATTTTTAAAGAGAAAAGGACATAAAGCAACTCACCTCCAGCAGATCAGTTTGTAGAACAGTAGCATTATGGTAATCAGGACTTCCAGAAGCAAATAAGACCTGTACATAATCCAGTAAATTATAAATGGTTTTCTGAAAGATATTTTTATGCATTAATTCTTTTTAATTAACTCAGATAATTTTTAGAAAGGAGATAAAGAAGGACACAAGGCACATTATAGGTCAACAGAATTTTCAAAGGACACGCAAAGAAGAAAAATGATCAGGAGTCATACTTCAAATACAATATTCTTCTTAAGAAAAAGAATGACGACTTAATAATTTAATTTCATAAGACCAAAGGATGTCTGTTCTGGACATACACTCAAATAATACAGAAACAGTAAGCCACAAAAGTTTCTCTTAACACATATTACCCAACAGAACTTAGAACCATAGCTAACCAAAATCTTGTGCCTGCCCCAGATTATTTTTTTGTGCTTCAAACTTGTGTTGTATTGAAAGTGTAAATTCTAACAATAAAGGGGAGAAACTCTTTGGCATAGCATGAATAAATAAGAACTCTCTATTCCTCCAACAGCAAGCTATTAAATATTGTGGTTGGCCTTTCTATTTTGATCTCCTTGTGTATTGTACGGGTCACAAACATACAAATATGTAAAATCCAGTTCTATTCCATTATTCTGCAAGATATATTAAGACAATGGCACCCAAACAAACAAATGAAAAGGACTAAAATATTGAGAAGATGCCCATTAAGTACCTTTTCCTAAGTCTAATGGAACAAAACAGTTTGTTCAACACCAAAATTAAACTTAACAATTTACCTAATAATATGACTCATGAGTCATGATGTCATATATACTTGTGATAACAAGAATAAACTAAAATAATATTCTCAAATAATCTCAAGTAATTTACCTAAAGACAGCGTAAAAACACAAAGCAGAAAAGAAAATAATTAACAAACTATGGATATATCAGATTTACACTTTCTCAAATTAAAAGAATACCTGCAATGATGAACTGCAACGTTCATGCATTGTGCTGACAATTCCTAGAAAATGGGATATTACTGCAGTCAGATTATTATGAATCCAAGGCTGAGCATTTAAAGCATTTATAACCTGGAAGACACGAGAGAGTAAGAGAGAAAAGTAAGCAAGGTAAGTTAAATGCACCGAATGAAGCACTGTCATTACCATAATAAAGGGCACATACTACATAAAGCAATCACTTAGAATGAGATAGCTATATGAAGATAAAATGTGTACGGGTGTAATGCACACGAAGTCACAAAGTTTAATTAATATCCTTCTATACTTTTCTTGACCAATATAGTAACAGGAACTTCTTCAGAAGGTTCTACTCAAGTGAACCAAAAAACTCACATAGATTAAGAGTAAAATGAAACAGAGAAAGCAACAGAATACAGCAGGCTGGTATAACTCAGGAGAAAGAGAGAGAGAACACCAAACACCATCACATATTCCATTTTACAATGACTGAGGATTGAGGAAGCTTCCGAGGGTTAAAAGATCTTAATGAACTTCAACTAATTTTTTTTGTGTGCAAATAAAACCAAAAAAGCATCAACAAGATGAACCCGCATTAAAGACACCTGTGACAAAATAGCATAACTGAATCTAACTTGTTGTGTAAGTGATTAGTTGTTATAGATTTCTACATATCACTGTAATGATAACCAACAGTAACAAGAAACAGACAATTTTAACAAACCATTCAATGTATTTTGTTATACAAACTTAAAACTATCTATTTTATTTTACTCTAAAGTTACTAGGAAGTGACAAATTCTATTAGGAGAATAACATCAGGAAGTCACATGGAAAATGATATACTGTAGAATATGTAGAATATTCTAGATAGTATTTATTGATGTAGTTGGTGGTTGTATATTTATTAAAGTAGTTGAGGTAGTTGGATGTACTCAATATAAAAAGGACCCATTGGGTCTCTCAATGAATCAAGAAAGTATTATTCAGATAAAACACTTCTTCCACTTCTTCTTTTCTTCATGGTATCAGAGCTGGTTATATTCCAGACTCTTCCCCGTTCTGATTTATTTTTAAGTCATTTTCCTATTCCTTTTTTTTTCGTTTTAGCCACTGCCCAAGCCAGAATCCTTACCTAGACACCTCCAACCACGAAACCAAGGCCACCATTAGGTTCAGAACAAGATTCTGAGCCAGCCCACAGAAGACCCGTAGCAGTACTGTTCATTACTGTAGCAATTATTGTTTCACTGTAGCCAAAATTGCTCTCATTCATTGATTTTTGCGAGCAACCCTCTTCCTGTTTTGAGGGTCAAAATCGTATTTGGAGGAACTTTTTTCTGGGTACCTGTTGTTAGAAAACCATGGATGTTGAAAATTTTGAAAATTCGTCTTTTCAGAAATTGATGTCTCAACCTGCTGAGGCAACTAGTCATGTTGCTCAAAAAGGTATGGCATTCCATGTTGAACGTAGTAATCGTTGGATCCTTGATTCAGGGGCCTCTGATCACATGACAGGTAATGCAACCTTATTTTTCTCCTATACCCCTTACTATCACCCGTCACGAATAAGAACAGTTGATGGGAATTTCTCCACTATTGCGGGAAAAGGATCCATTAAACTTTCTGAGCATATTATTTTGAACTCAGTACTTCATGTTCCCTCTCTTACTTGTAATCTCATCTCTATTAGCAAACTTACTGCTGAGTTGCATTGTGTTGCTAAGTTCTCTGCAAATGCTTGTATCTTTCAAGAACAGGACTCGGGGATGATGATTGGCAGTGCTAGAGAGGAAGAAGGGCTATACTATTTTACAGATGTTCATTGTGAAAAGAGGATTTTTTCGAACCACTCTCTATGTTTATCAGATGACTGTAATGATGTTTTGTTATGGCATCGTAGGTTGGGACACCCAAATTTTGTTTATCTCCAGAAGTTATTGCCGAACTTATTTATCAATAAAAAGCCAAGTTCCCTTCTTTGTGATATTTGTCAGCTTGCAAAGCACTCTCGTGTCACTTATTCTCCTAAGAAATATCATGAATCTTCTCCCTTTACATTGATTCATAGTGATATTTGGGGACTTGCTCGTGAAAAAAATGTCTCGAGTGCTCGTTGGTTTATTACTTTCATTGATGATCATTCTAGGGTATGTTGGGTATATCTCTTAAAAGATAAGTCTGAGGCAGCATCCACTTTTAAAAACTTTCATGTTATGATTCAAACTCAATTTCAGACTTCTATCAAAATTCTACGAACAGATAATGGTACTGAATATTTTAATTCAGTTCTTGGAGATTACCTAAACCAGCATGGAATTATTCATCAAAGTTCTTGTCCTAACACCCCTCAACAAAATGGGGTGGCTGAAAGGAAAAATAGACATCTAATTGAAGTTGCTCGAGCTCTTTTATTCACGATGCATGTCCCTAAATATCTGTGGGGGGAAGCTGCTGTGGGGGGAAGCCGTCTTGACAGCCTGTTATCTCATTAATCGGATGCCTTCTCGGGTACTAAATTTTCATTCTCCTTTATCCTGTCTTAGTAAATCTTTTCCCTCTTTCAGTGCTCTTTCTTCTCTTCCTCCCAAAATATTTGGCTGTGTGGTTTTTGTGCATATTCCTCCACATCAAAGGTCCAAACTTGACCCTAAATCCATCAGATGTGTCTTCATAGGATATTCCCCTAATCAAAAAGGTTATAAGTGTTACTCACCTTCTCTCCGTAAGGTTTTTGTTTCCATGGATGTTACCTTTTATGAGACACAATCCTTTTTTTCCCCGACTTCTCTTCAGGGGGAGTCTATTGGTATTGGTATGGATGAAGATAAGCCTGGGAAACCAAATGATGCTGTTGTCTTACCTTGGCCTTTGGAAACATGTGGAGTTATTGGGAAGGAAACAGGGGGAGCAACTATACCTGAATCTAATGATCCTCCTTGTGATCCTCCTGGTAAATGGGGAAAATTTTACAGCAGGCGCAAAACACATGAAGATACTCTAGACTGCCAGGATCCTGACTCGAGTCCTTGTTCCAGCAACCCACTTGAATGTACTAGTACAGCCAACGTTGATATGCCTATTGCTCTTCGGAAGGTACTAGATCTTGCACTGCTCATCCTATTTCCCATTATATCTCATATGAAAAGTTGTCTCTAGGTTTTCGTGCTTTCAACACTATGTTAGATAGTACCAGGATACTCAAAAATATCCAAGAAGCACTTGATGACCCAAAATCGAGGAATGCAGTATTAGAAGAAATGGATGCACTTACAAAAAATGGAACATGGGAGTTTGTGACATTACCTAAAGGAAAGAAAACTGTTGGTTGCAAGTGGTGTTCACAATAAAATTCAATGCAGACAATAGCATCAATAGGTATAAGGCCAGATTAGTTGCTAAGGGATTTACTCAGACTCATGGGATAGATTATCAGGAGACATTTGCTCCTGTTGCCAAACTTAACACTATCCGCGTTCTGCTATCTCTTGCCGCCAACCTTGATTGGCCATTGCAACAGTTAGATGTTAAGAATGCCTTCTTGAATGGTGATCTCCATGAGGAAGTTTACATGGATCTACCTCCTGGTTTTGAAAAAAGGGATGGTTCTGTGTGCAAGTTGCAGAAGTCTCTCTATGGACTTAAACAATCTCCCAGAGAATGGTTTGGGAAATTTACTCAAGCTGTTAAGGGAAGAGGGTTCACCCAAGCTCAGACTGATCACACTTTATTTTTTAAACACTCCGACAAAGGAAGAATTGCTATTCTGATCGTTTATGTTGATGACATAATTGTCACTGGTAATGATAGCGAGGAGATAACTTCTTTAAAAAAATATTTAGCTGACCAGTTTGAACTAAAAAATCTTGGATCTCTCAAATATTTCCTTGGCATGGAAATTGCTCGGAGTAAGGAAGGAATTTCTTTAACTCAGAAAAAATACATTCTAGACCTGTTGCAAGAAACAGGTATGCTTGGGTGCAAGCCGGCAGAGACTCCAATTAAAGCTAATATCAAGATGGGAGTTGAGGACGGGGAAGATGCTGATAGGGAGCAGTACCAGAGACTAGTGGGAAAATTAATCTATTTGTCTCACACTCGTCCTGATATTACTTTTGCTGTGAGCATGGTTAGCCAATTCATGCATTCTCCTAAGGAAAAACACCTTAGTGCTGTTTATAGAATTCTCAAATACCTCAAAAATACCCCTGGTCGAGGAATTTTCTTTAAAAAGGGGCACAAAAGGATGATTGAAATCTATACAGATGTAGACTGGGCTGGCTCTGCAATGGACCGAAGATCTACTTCAGGATATTGTACTTATGTCTGGGGAAACCTTGTGACCTGGAGAAGTAAGAAACAAACTGTTGTTGCAAGAAGCAGTGCAGAAGCGGAATTTCGGGCTCTAGCCCATGGTATTTGTGAAGGAATTTGGTTACGAAGGCTTCTGGAGGAGTTGAAGATCTCTTATTCCCTACCTATCAGATTATATTGTGATAATAAGGCTGCTGTCAGCATTGCTCAAAATCCTGTTCATCATGACATAACAAAACATGTGGAAGTTGATCGTCACTTTATCAAAGAGAAATTAGAAGGCGGTAGTGTATGCTTGACATATATACCTACCAAGGAACAGACGGCGGATATCCTCACCAAAGGATTACTTAAGCTGACCTTTGAGAATTTGATCAGCAAGTTGGGAATGATCAATATATATCTCCCAACTTGAGGGGGAGTGTAGAATATGTAGAATATTCTAGATAGTATTTATTGATGTAGTTGGTGGTTGTATATTTATTAAAGTAGTTGAGGTAGTTGGATGTACTCAATATAAAAAGGACCTATTGGGTCTCTCAATGAATCAAGAAAGTATTATTCAGATAAAACACTTCTTCCACTTCTTCTTTTCTTCATATACTGATTAACATCATTATAAGAAATAGCTTCTTGATAATCATGTTTCTGTTCATTCCACAGCAAATGCACAATCTATTGGTCTATTATCCACCTATAAATGGAATAATGGAAATATCTTTTTTTCTGTTATAAAGGAATGGGGAAAAATAATATGAAGGTGTTCTTCTAATCTGAACATGGAAAATTGTCAACGAAAAACCTTAACTTCCTACATAATGCTTCTTCTTAGAAGCTACATTTATTGAAACTAATGATGCCTAAAGCAATATAAAGTTGTTTCTTAATACACAATGCATTTAAGGGATGCTAACTTATTTATTCACTATCAATTAAAAAACTCTTACCAGCAATCTTGTCAACTCTTCATTTTCATGATAGTATATGGCACATATATCTAACAACTTCGGCAATTCAAGATATTTCTTCTCCTGCAAAAGAACTACAGGCAAAATTAGTGAACAACAGTGAAACACAACACAAATAATACAAAAAATGAGGTAATTGCCCAACCTGAATCCGCAATTAGAAATAATTTTCGTACACAATACATCAGTAAATGTGTGATGTTTTATTATTATGCCATTAAATACAAAAATGACTAGTGAAATAAGCAACATGCCCATACACAATTTTAAGAATCAATTACTACCTTTGCCTGTAACTTACAAGTTTTATCAACTACAAGCGAATGATTTCTTATATATCCGTAAAGTATATGAAACATGCACAAAAACTTAGTTCCAAAGTATGTTCAAAATAAAAATGAAATACAAAACAGAAAAAAAGAAAAAGAAATAAGCTCCAATCTCTGTCTATGCTAAGACATATGTATTAAGCCCACATGTGCATGCTGTCAGGCGGTTCCAGGAGAAGCCCGTGGCGGAGGACCACCACCAATGGGCTAAGTTATTCCAGCCGTAGCCAGTGGATCCAACACCATGTCACAACCCAAAATCTTAAGGTATTGGATTTATGAATCCATCCACTTATATACATTTCACTTAGCCCATTACCAACCAATGTGAGACTCATTACACTTGAATATCCCAACAATCTCCCCCTCAAATGTGAAACCCAACATTGGTATGCTCCCCCTCAACCGAGTACCTAGGCCCAAAGTACTTCACCCGCCTACTAGCCAAACACATGGCTAGCTCGAGCACAACCCGACTCTGATACCACTATCAGGCGGGTCCAGGGGAAGCCCGTGATAGGAGACCACCACCAATGGGCTAAGTTACTTCAGCCGTAGCAAATGGATCCGACACCATGTCACAACGCAAAACCTTAAGACATTGGGTTCATGAGTCCATCCACTTATACACACTTCACTTAACTCATTACTAACCAATGTGGGACTCATCACACTTGAATATTCCCAACACATGCAACGTAAGGTATGAGCTTTATTTGCAATTGCAAGTAATAAATAAGTAATAAAATACAACAAAACTGTGTAGTGATGAGACAGGTAAAAATCATGCATTGTATACCCAACTAAAATGAATTCCATTGTGCACAAACTAGAAAAGGATGAGGGAGATCCCACCTTCATGGTCTCTCACACTAAGGGTATCAGCAGGTCGAGCACCAGGATCTTTATTGGAAGAACTGCAAGACAAATGCATTATAAAAATCATACAAGATTAAAGAGAAGAGAGTTGAAATCACAGCATTCCAACTCATCAGAAACTTACATGCGATACAATACCATGAAAACACGACGACTCAAATCACGCTCTCCAACAATAACACCCGCAACAATCCCTTTGGCCCCACGATGAGGGAAATCATACCATCTGCTCCTAAATTGCAGGAAGCTATCCAGAACCTCGTGCAGGGAGGTGTCAGTAGCCACTGCAAATATAATACAAACTATAAATTGATAACAAAATATGAGCTCAACAAAAATGACACATTTTTACCATAAAGGTTTTGTTATTCGAGATACAATCAATACGACAAATCACTTTGAATATCTGAATCTGATACTGCTGAACATGTCGTGCATCAAAATAACAATGATAATTGGAGAACAGTTAAAGTACCTTGTCTCCAGAATTGCTTGGGTTTCAACTTGAGCAAGAGAGACAATTGTGCATTCAAAAGATCAACAACTCTCTGAGATTCAAGGGGATCCAATCCACCATCCTCAGCGCCAAGACCTGCTGCAACTGCCTCGTCTTGTGGCAAGTATTTAACGAAATTGCCATTCCCACCCGACGAATTGGTACTGCTACTGCTACCAGAACCAGTTGGGGCGTTCAATGGTTGTCTTTCTCTGAGGGAAGTTGAGAGGGTTGGGTTTGAATTGGGACTTTTGGGGATAAATTTCTTCTGGGTTTTGATGAAACCCTTGTTACTGTTTTTGTCTTGTTTTTCCTGACCGTATCGATTCGACATTTTTATCAGAAACGATCAACGAGAGTTGCAAAAGAGTGTAGCTAATGAATTTCAAGGGTTAAGGGTAATTCGATGATGCCAAACCCTCTTCAAATCAGTCAGATAGGTTCGCCGCGGTTTCGATATTTTCTTTTCTTTTCTTTTTTTCAAACAAACTCAACACAATGCATGTGCTCACCAGTCATCATGTATACAAAGTCTTTAACAAATTATTACGAATATTAAACGTTATTCAACACTCTTTAAATAAATAAGATAATTATTAGGATAATGATTACTAAATTTTACGAATATTATTACTTTCTTTACTATTTTTATTTGTTAAAATTGAATTTAGAAGAAAAGAAAACGAGTGGTTATGAATACCGAAGGTCCAAAGCTTTAGTCACTGTATATGAGATATAACGTTACCATCGTATAACCAATAATATTGATCGAAGCTTCTTAGAGAGGGCATTGCCTGTTCCGTGACAAATTAATCTTATTGACACAGAAGTCCAAGTCCCACAACTGCATACTTTGGAACACTAAAAAACTTTAGACTAGAAAATAATTCATTTGAAACTAAATAATTTACAAATCCCATAAAAAGTGGTAGGATTTCCAAATCATTAGATTATACATGATCATCTGTAAATGAATTGGATTCTTAAAACTAAATATCATTCTAAACAAGTTTCATACAGTGATTCACATTAACTAAACTCATAGAAGTGGAGAAATCTTCCGGCTGAGATCGAGTCCAATGTCAAGTCCATTATAAGCAATCGGAGCGTACATCCACAAATCATCAGAGCTTAGAAGCTACAAAAGAAAAGAAAATAAAATAAAAAAAGGTTATTATGATGTGTGTGTATATATACGTTGATCTTTCTGAGAAATTAAGGATACGTCAAACTTATGCTATCCATGTCTCCAATTATTTTACCTTGATCTGGAGCTGCAAAAATTTCACGTAATGGACTGCATCTTCAAGCATTGTGCTTATATCAACCTGTATGACCCATCCATGAGATTAGTATATCTCCAATACAGTTGGCATATTCCCCCAAACCCACCAACCCTTTTAAAATGAAAAACAATTATGCAAACAATATATAGTACCTTTGTTCCATTGGGTACAAGATTCTGTAGAATTCTTAGTCTCTCATTTATTCTCTCTCTTCTTTTCTGCAAGATTCAAAAAGACACTAAGTACCCCATATATATTTATATAATATACAATGGCATCACATAATGGGGAAGAAGAAGAAATTAATTACCCTTGCATAAAGGCTCTGAGGATCTGTTGCTGATCCCCTACTGGCTCTTGTTTTCCCATTTAAGTTTAGAGCCACATGTGATTTAGATGCCGAAGTAGCTCCTCCACTATTTTCCTGAGAAGCATTATCCTCCTCTGAGGTATAACTGCTAGAGCTCTGTCCATCTGAACCTGCATTAGTCTCTTCTGCCTCGTTTCCATTTCTATCAAGCTTCTGGTTCTTCTTGGACCGTCCATTCTTCATGCATTTTTGCACCTGAATTTGGAAACCACACACACAAATTGTTACAAACCTGAAACCCCCCAGTTCTAATGTCAAGTTAACATAGTTAATGTCATGTAGACAAAGCTTACATCTTTTGAAACACGAGGTTTTTTCTTACGGTTCCCATATGAGTTTATTTTATCTTCTGCATGCACTTCCAGTTCTGGCACATCAAGCATCCTTTTTGGCTGCAATTGCTTGGTGGGAAAAACAATAGGTTCCATTTGACTGTGATCAGAATTCTCTAATCTGTCACTTTTCTCATCTTCATTCAAGATGACATTCTCTTCCATTACAATATCAGTAAGCGATTGGACAAAAGGGCCAGGTTTTTTCTCATCCATCAAGCAATTTCCGATGGATGTAGAGGTATAATTAGCTAGCACATGATCAGGATAATCGAAATGGTAGTTAGTATGACCCTGATTGGCCACCAAGATAGTACGGCCACTACAATTGCTACTGTGATTGCTTTCTTGAGAAGCATACTGCAAATTTGAGTTGTGAGCATCAAAAGGGTAAAACATACTCTCATTTCCACCAGCTTCAGGAGTGAAGCAAAACATGGATTGTGTTCCAATGTTCACATCATCTTCCCCAAGCAGAAGTGAGCTTTGACCAATTAATTGTAGTGAGTCATTGTGCTCTTCAATGGCAAACATTCTGCGAAAGCATTCCCATTCTCCATCAGGAAAGGCTCCAAGAGTTTCCATTCTATTCTGTATGGTTAGAATCCCAAGGGGGAAAAAGGGTTATTCTTTTGTGGTCTAATGCCACTACAGACAGAATCAAAATGGTACTTGCTTGTCATCAGCAAAAGCTAAAGACATATTTATACTCAAACCCAGGATTGACTTAATTTGTAAATAGCATTTTTTAATTGGTAATCATTGTCATGGGTAGGCCTAGTTCTCTGTAACTAAACTCAGCAGTCCACACAGTGGGGGCCAATACCAGGCAAAAGACAACTCATAGAGGAACCAAATTTCATGTCACGATAATTTAAAATAATATAAGTATTCAATGGCATTTAAACACCTTAAGAGTCAGACTTGTTAAAACTGTCATCCTAACTCCTAAGGGCAACTAGAGGTCTAAGTATAATCATTGAGAGGTGACTAAGTGAGATTAATAAGTCTCTTAATTAATGTTTATAGTGATAGTTCGAACTCAAGAGAGCTATATCATTTGCATTTTTTATATTGTAGAAACGCGGGAGTCTGAATATAATAAAACAGAAAGAATTGTGTTCTGAAATAAACAAAAAATTGGTCCACGGGCGGGCTACATCGTGCGGATGAGTCTGAAATTCTTTATGTACTTTAAAGACCGACATGGCAACCATGGACCCCGCTTACTGTTTCTTCAGTGTACGATTAAGATGAAGGATCAATATACAATCTCTTCAATCATTCCCATTTCCCCAATTAGCATTTAATGTTTTGCAGATTAATTTTGTTTAACCACTCTTAAGACTTTCTTCTGCAATATCTGACAGGTCATATCGTTTAGGCTCTATCAGGACAGCTTATCTACACAATACACTACAAATAACGTATAACACGCCCCCAATATACAAATTCCACACTAACCAAATCCTGTCCTTAATATAATAAAAAATGAAGCAAAGCAAATGTCAATAAGCACAATGTTAACATATTATATTCGTAAGAGACTGATTATATTAGACGTAAATAACAAATGAAAAATTTAAAGTTTTACTTATAAATATTTTGTACCCAAAGTGGTGAAAGAAATATTTTCATAGTAAGAACTTTTTGCACGTTATGTATTAGCTAGGTCGCCAAAAAATGAGACAAAGCATAACATACATGGGCAATGATTTTCTATATCCACGGGTGAGAAGAAATTTTTCTTGCAGACACATCGAGTTGTGTGTGTCAAATTTTATTTTATTTTTTGAAAAACGATAGTGCCACCATTTTGTTTGGTTAGGAGAAAAGCTTTTCATTCCTGTAAAATAAGTTAAGTTTTCCCCAACATATATGGGTCCAAGATACACGTGCGGATTCTATAAAAAAAAAAAAAAAAAAAAAAAAGGATTCGGACGCATATCCTGTATTGCTGTAATTTTCCCTTCTGCAGTCACATAATAAGTACTTTCCGCAGCATATATACCATCAAAAGACACTGATGTGGTAATGATTCCTACATTCCTACATAGGCATGAGAAGGACAATATCTACAACATGCCCTAACCCATTTGGAACAGTCATTTCAACGATACCCTTAGATTCCGCCGATCCTCGCGCTCCGATTACACGCGTCGAAAATCAACTATTTATCTTCATTTTTTTATGGAATTTGTTGTCGAAGAGAGTTTGGTGAGGTTTTTGTTGTTATTTGGAAATTGCACCGGCCATTACACGACCTTATGAGATGTCTTAAATAAACCCTAAAGTCCCCAAATGCAAACGTTTGAGGAATTGAAAAGGCCATAATAAAAAATTTGGAAACTCGAAAGGACAATGATGATTGATAATACCCTTAAAAATCAGATTTTATTCCCTTTTGAAATTCTGGGTATGCGTGGCCTCAAGTTCTCGCTTGATTTCAGGGTCAGGGTTCATCTCCCTAAGGCTCCAACAACGTCGTCTTCCTCTGTTTTTGTTCTATTAACTACCTTGTGTCCTCACCAACTGAACTGATTATTGTCCAGCGCATGTCACGTGAGACACGTGACCATTTAAATGGTTTTCTGCAAATTTCATTCAATAATCCATTGAAAACCAACTTAAATAATCAAGAAAACCGAAGGAAAAAAACAAGTGAGCTGTAATGTTGAATCTCCAACTTCAACCCTGTTTTCTAATCACCAGAAAGGAAATAATAATTTGAATTTGTCACGAACGTGTGTTATTCAGTTATTCTCCTTCCAGAAGCAATGTACGGTTTTTCTTAAGCAAATTAATTTTATTTTTTTTATAATTATAAAAAATTATGTTGTCATTCAATAATATATTATCATGAGTTTGATATTTCATGTTTTCTTAAACCCATTAAACAATATAACAGCACAACATCGAGTGATAATATAAATTTTTTTTGCACACTATACAAATAAAATTCTTTTCTTAAATAATAAAACAGTAAATATAAATATAATGTAATGGTTGGTTTCTAAAGAGATCTATAAATTGATTTTACTTTTGTATTAGCTTTGTCCATTAATTTAAGATTACATTCACTTGAATATCAAACCTTAAAACTTTTAAAATATAACTTGATAAATTAGTTAAAGACAAAAATAAAGTTATAACCCTAACTTTGAAAAAAAAAATGATCCGGATAAAATATAGGCTCATTAGAGGCCCAATGACATACGAAGAAGCCCAAACCCATTAAGGATCCAGAGCAAAGCGCGATGGACAACATCGCGCATAAGACGCGATGCCCATATTGCGGATAAAACCCCTTAAGGAAGCTAACTTAAGACCCAAGGCAATCCCACTGCGCCTTTATACCAATAAACGGAAGACAGCTCCAGCTTGCAGCGACTCTATGACTAGACATTAGAGAAGATAAGGCTACTCAGGTCTTAGCACTGACCTGCAGCCCAAGCCTGGCCACTCAGAGGCCAAGCAGCCTTGCTAAGGCGGCATCATAACCTCTATATAAGCAAAGGGTACAACACTAAGGTACGATCATCCTTTACATTAATAACATAAAAACTCATGCTTCTGATACTGACTTAAGCATCGAAGTGTCTTCGCAGGTACCCTCATTCAGATTCATCGCGCCACAACAAAGGACGAAGACATAGTAAGATCCAACTCTGATTCGAGGCCCAAAACCAAGAACAAGAATCCACATCTCAACTGTGTGTGATTAGGCTCGATACATATTGGTCAGCCCATATTGTATTTCGTCTGATCAAAAAGTAAGAAAGAAATAAACTCTTTAGATTTATTCACTTCTTTCCTGCTATGCTATGTTCCTTATATCACTCTTTTAAAGTAAGATATGTATTTTAGAGAAAAAAATACATACTTAATATTGTTAATTAAAAAATCAATGGTTGAAATTATGATAATAATAAATCATTAAAAAAAATTTAATTAACAATTGTAACTCTACATTTCCCCCCTAAAGTTACACTCCTTATTTTAGAGGAATTTGTTGGAACTAATTTTTAAATTAATTATTTTTATGAATAAGAAGCTTGATTTGAAAAAATGTGTCGTTTCATCGTCAAATGAATATGTTGTTTCATTCTAACGGATGTGTCACTTCATCCTAACAATCATGTTGTTTCATCCTTGAATGAGTGTCTTTTCAATACTAATCCTATGTTTTCTATAAATAAAAAGACAATCAAAATTTTAAGTAGAGTTTTTCTTTGCATTTGCATTCATTTACTTTAGTGCGATTGGTCAAACATGGTTTGAGTTCGACGAGGCTATTTAATGTGAAAATATTGTCACAAGATTAGAGGTAATTCGTTTGATCCTGTGAGATATTTGTTAATAAATCTTGGGCACCATAGAAAGGACAAAATTGCCTTAAGGACACAATGTCTAACACTGAGTTCGAATTTACCCTTGTTGCATTTATATATTTTTGTACGATACGCTTTAACTATGTGCTATTATATATTTCAATTTTTTGTGTATATTTCATGGAACAGTGTGTATTGTTGAAATAACTTCTCTAGCACATTAGACGGGTTATCCCATCTCAATGATTTAAACATCATTTTGGATAACAATTTCACAAGAATAAAGGTAATCTGCTCTATCCTATGAGACATTTGTCTATGAATCTTGGGCACTATAGAGAGGACAAAATTATTTTATAGACATAGTGTCTAACGCTTGGATTTTTCCTTGTTGCATTTATATATTTTCCTACGGTATGTTTTAACTGTGTGTTATTGTGTGTTTCAATTTTATATATGTATTTTATGAATTTTATGTATTATTTCAATGATTTCTTTAACACAGGTTATCCCCCACTCAGTGATTTAATTATTTTGGATAACAGAATCATGACTGTTACAACCCACTGTATAATTGTATATGTGCTAAATTTTTCAACAGACTATTCGAACATGTGTTTAATTTTGGAGGAAAAAAGCTAAAATTAACATGAAGTTGTGATTTTTCTATTTTATATATCTATTAAATATTTATTTATTGCATATAATTTTTAAATACAGATAAAATTTAAAAAATAAAAGTATTAAATAATAAAAAGTATACGCATAACTAATTTTAAAAACAAATTTAAAATTTAAAAAAGTTAAAAATAACATTTATCTTTTATTTTTTTTGGATTCAGGGAAAATAAAAACACAAAAGCAGTTAGAGCCTTACAACCCTGGGCCAAACAATGCCCCTACAGTCACTAATTAATCTATCTTTACAATCATTTGGAATGTCCCTAAAAATTCTTATTTCCCAACCATTTTATGAGCATGAGATGTAAGCCAATCCACAACATCGTTGCCTTCTCTGTACATGTGTGAGATCTTCATCTCCCAATTCCTAATCAAGAGCTCCTGTATCCTCAAAATTAGGAAAGCTAGATGGTGATTTGGGTTGTTACCTTTTTCAATGAACTTTAAGGCAACTTTCGAGTCACTCTCAAGCTGAATTTTCCTAAAGTTTGTCCCCAAGCAATAGTAAACCCAGTTAGAATTCCCCAAAGTTTCACTTTAACCGAGGTGCCAATGCCAAGATTCTTGGCAAATCCTAATCTCCATCTGCCATCTTCATCTATGAAAATCCTCCACAACATGTGTTTATCCCTCCGTTGGTGCTTGATCCGTCCACATTCAGTTTGATCCAGCTTGGGTTAGGCCTTAACCACTTAATCTGCAGCTCAACTTTTTGTTTTGGTTGAATACCTACTTTAGATAAGCTCAATTATGCTTCCTTGAAATTTATAAGGTAGACTTTTGCACTTCTCACCACTGTGATGTGCGTCTAGCATATGATGCTTTCTAACTTAAAAGAAGTAAGGAATTAATCATAAATGTGTGAAACTAGTCATTAAATGCAAGAAATATTGATTATTCCTTCCCAATCATGCTCTCACTAGAGTTATATGTTTTAATAGCAAGAAACGCCACAAAAGGGAGCAAAAACAGAGAAGTCAAGTTTCCCGCTGGCGCACGGCACTCTGAAGTCGGCGCACGATGCGCAGGACCGGCGCAAAGTGCGCGGTACCTGGCGCACCACGCGCCATTTTACGCGAGTCACCACAGCATCCCGGCGCACAATGCGCGGGATGCGGCGCACGGTGCGCCATTTTGCAGTCCCTCTTTTGTTTTCCTAAGCACGGTGCGCCAGGCCTGGCGCAAAGTGCGTGGGCGATATATTTTTGACTCCAATCTGATGCGAATTACCCAAAAGGAGGCTCAATTGGAGAGCAAGTGAAATGAGGTTTTCCCAAAACCTAATAAAAGGATCAGAAACAGAGGAAGGACACACTTTTTTTGACAACTAGGAAGAGAAAAACAAAGAGAGGGAGAATTCTTGGGAGCTTCTTGGAGATTCAAGGATTCGATCGATAAAGACGGAAGATCTTCATCTTCCTTTTCTCTTTTAGGTTTTGAATGTTAATTTCTTTTACTTTTATTTTGTCAGACATGAATATGTCTGGCTAGTTCTATCATTGTGGTAAGGGTCACAACCCTTGATGTGAACCCCTTGTGATTTGGTTAAATTTATATTCATCTATGTTAATTGAGTTTATTTTATCATGTTCTTCATCTATAATTCTTCTATAACTGATCACTCTTTTAGGATTGCGAGGGTTAGGATTTTCAATAGGGATATTAGAATTCTAATTCCTGACAAGAGGTAAGATAATTGTTCATGTATGCACTAGGGATAGACTACATGAACCGCAAACGTGAAAAATTCGTTGATTCGAAGGCTCAACTTAAAAAGGGATTTCTAAGGGATTAGGATTCTAATAGGGTTGTTAAGGTTAAGATCATTAAGGAATTAAGGCTTAACCAATTACATAAAAGATAGTGAATCATTTGATCAATTGCATAATTGAATGTAAACGTTAATTCAAGTTTCAAGGTGGGGATCATAAAGGTGTTGGCGTCTCTTTACCGCAATATTTTCTCAAATATTTTCTCAACTTTTAATCTTTTGTCTTGAATTTCTTTAAGAACTTTTGAATCATTTACAATTTCTTGAATAGTTCTCAATTATTTCACAAACCATAATTATTCTTAAACTATTTTTATTAATCCAACTAGAGAGGAATAATTATAATAAATTCGGTGCCTCAATCCTCGTGGAGACGATACTCTACTTATCCTTTTATTACTTGGTACGATCGGTACACTGGCCAATTTTACGCAACACACTGCCTCTTCAGAAAGGCTTTGATTAGAGAAGACAAAGGTATTTCTATCATTCCAAATCATCCAACAAATTATACCAAACAAAAGAGGCCATTCAGTATTACCATTGGATTTTGAATGAGAAGAGAGATTCTTATGAAGCCAACTAGTTAAATTCCAGAAACAAAAGCTGACCAATTACAAGGAAAGATTATTTTCTATCAAATTGCATTGGCCCACCTTCAGTCTCTAATCATGTGAATGTTGTTCTCAGCATAAGCTTGACATCTTGGGTATAGATCAAAGTTAGCCATGTGACTTTGCACCCTGCGGTTGTTGGTTAACAGGTTGTCCCCAATATGCAACCATAAAAAATTCCTTATCCTTTAAGGCTCTTCCCAACTCCAAACAAGATTCCAGTTGAGGTGAGGTCAGTGAGAAAAATTATCTCCCAATACTTTGTATACAATGCTAACAGAAAAGGAGCCATCATTAGAGTTCTGCCATATAGTCTTATCCATGCCATTCAAGGGTGATGGAGGAAGAATGCCAGCTATAGCATTGGCTGCCTCTGGAGATATAAGATGTTCGAGCTTTTGTCAGTTCCATGATTCTTCATTTTCTCTTAAATCCCCAACATTTATCATTTTTTAAAAGAATATAAACTAAAATAATAAGTCACTATAAAAAGAAATATATTCTAATTTAACTAGCTGCTCCTATCTCCATCTTATTAGTATTTTCATGTTCTAGGAGATAAATATATCTCCTAAATACATATAAAAATATTGGAGCTCATATTTTTTCTTTTCTGTCTTCTCTCATATGGCTCACATGGGCCCCACACACTATTATCTATGTATAAGGAGAGAAAATTTATTTACTACAACATGAGAAACATTCAACTTTGAGTTTATTTACGTCTTCCTCGATTCTAAATAAAAAAGTTATGGAATTTAATTAATTCTGGTTTGTTTGTATCTTCTTTTCATAATTTTATTAATTTAAATGTCAACAAACTTTCAAGATAATCGAAAAAAAAATTAAAAAAGGTAAAAACATTTTAAAAAGTAATCCTAAGACCCTATTTGACACCTTTCTTTTTTAAAGTTTAAAGTTATTTTAAGTTAAAGTTATAAAAAAAAAACTAAAAAATTGTTTGTTAATTGGATAAAGTTATTCTTAGAGTTTTCAAGAGAAAAAGATAAAATGATTGTTATTCAGGTAAATTATAAGGGTAAATAATAAAATTCAAAAATAAAAGTTTAAAATAAGAGTATAATGTAAAAATAAATATGAGAATTCCAAAAGGCTGATATACATCTTCAAAAAAACTCTTTTTGGGAGCTTTTTTTTTCATTACAAAAAAATTCTTTTTTATATAAAAGCTTTTGTAAAATTATATTTGGCTAAACTTTTGCTTATAAAAAGAAGAAAAACTAAAAATAAGAACTCTTAAATAGTCACTTTTAAGTAATTTTTCTCATAAGTCAAGAAGAATAACTTTTTTGAAAAAAAATTAAAGAATTATATCATGACATTAATTTTTTGAAAAAATAATCCAAATGTAAGTGCATATTCATTTTAACTTAATTTTTATGAAATATTAATTTTTTCTGTAAGTTAGATTTTAATTATAAATTATTGTAAATATAAAATAAGCTACTCATTTGTATCACTACAAATCATAGCCAAAAAATAATAATACCGGCTCAAAATAGTCAAGAACAGCAGAAAATATAAATAAATAATATATCATAAATAATTACCCAAATGCACATACAAATAATTCACTTCAATTTTTACAGAAAAAAAAATTCTCCAAAATTATCTCAGTAAGTTTTTAATTATTAATAATTTGAATATAAAATATTCTATCAATTTGTCTAGCTTGAAATAAAATACTTGGGAGGTAAGACTTCTAATTTTTACATAACCGGCCTCTATATATATATATATGCCAAAACCTCCCCCACAAAATTTCTAATTTAATATTTTTTACATATTTATACAACCACGCTTCAAGGAGTAAATATGTTTCCAAAAAAATATGTAAGTATTTACGTACTGAAATTCTGAAATAAAAAAAAAGTCATGTAACTATAAAATTGAAGGAAATGTGAGCATATAAAGAATAAAATAATGTTATACATCGACCGAATAGCAAAGGCTGAAACTTGTACATACCTTACATGTGACGATGCCCATTATAACTCATTTGAGTAAACCTAAACTTTGGATCTTCCGATACCAAATGACAAACAAGCCCTTTATTATAGCCATAATTGATGATTCCTCAATATTAAAATAGGGCAGTGTTACATAGAGCTCGTGTCTGAGCTCTCTATTGATTCTTTACTATAAAATAATATAAATTAAGAGTTCCAAAACAAGGGCACACAGAATAATTCTAATTAAAAATAAAATACTTAGAGAGCAGAACCGAGAGTACAAAGACTCGAGCTTTCTGCAGCAAATACCATCGCAATATCTCTCGATGAAATCTAAGCAGTCATCATTAAAGCTCCTAACAAGGGCGAGCTCAAATGTTCAATAACTAAAACACAATCACAAGAACAAAGATCAGGCACCATTAACTAAGACAAATAGCGGCTTGTTGCCTAGCCTTTCTCGCCCCTGAAACAAGCCAATAGAAGGAAAATAGTTTACAGCAATGAATTTTCAGTCGCAATCATGTGATGCACTAAGGAGAATGAATACGCTACAGCGAATGTCATATAATGCACTTAAAACTTTTCAAATTAGTCAAAAGCCAAGGTAACTATAGTTAAGATCCTAGCTACAATTTATAAGCATACTTATTTCAGTATGATCTAGAACAAAAGAATACGTAGTGATGACCCTTCTTTTTTTAATAATATCAACATCAACAACACCTTTAAGGGGAACAAAAGAAAAGAAAAAAGAAGGCCTTTCTTTTTTTAATAAAATAAAATAAAAGCCTACAACGACACACATTAAGAATCACACTTCAAGGGTAATAAGCTCTAACAAAACAACAAATCATGAAGGCAATAACCAGTAGAGAGGAGTTCAAGCAGTCATATAACTTTCTACAAGCCTCCAGGTAGGCTTGCACTTGTACTATTTTCAAATCAAACATGTTAGATCAAGGCAGGAGAGCACCAATCAATCTCACTACTGATGAAGTCCAAACAATTTCTGCGTTTGTTGCCTTTTTCCACCCCCAGAATCAGGAATGCGAAGGACTAGTGAGACATTCTTGAGCAGACATGATGCATATTCAGTTTGGGCACTACTAGATTAATAAAATCTAGTTGGTTTGACAAATCCTATTAGGTGGTAATTAAATTTGCAAATGTCAAACCAAGTCATTCTCTATAGGTTCAGTGCACAAATTACTTTCTACACAGTGTCTATGCAAGAAGTTTTTATTAGACTAATGTCAAAAAAAAAAAATAATAATAATAATAATCAGAGATATAATTCAATTTTTACCATCATACTCTTGTTCTGCTTATGTTGCTTGAGTTCCTAAAATACAAACTGTAACTTAATAATAGCAATCCAGATTCCAGTGCTCATTTTTGAAAAAAAAAAATTGTTATGAAAACTGTCGTGTGAGAAATAAATTAAGCCGAACATTAAGCCAAGGTAAGGATAAACATATTACCTTTAACTCTGGTAATTCAATCACACAAGCACACTCAACAACATGCACCCCAACACGTTCTGCAACAAAGAGAATAAGGAACAGAACAACTAAGAATAAGAATGTATTGAAATGCAGAAGTTAAGCACAAAACATTTTATAAAACTCATTTACAAGTAAAAGAGTCACATGAAAGCAATTCATACCATTAAAATTATATTAGTTGAGCAAGAACAAAACAATGAAGAACCAGAAAGGATGGTGAATGGGACACAAGTAAGCAAACGGAATGATTTCAAGCCATGAATTTTTTTTACATTAATTATTACATTAAAAAAAATAAAGAGAGAAATTACTGAACTTGCTTGATTTCCCTCTCGCAAAGACCAGTTTTCGAAGGATCAGCCGTTCAAGTTTACTGATCACAAAAAAGAAGATTACCACTAGAAGAGCTATGCAAAGCCACTTGCGAAGATTAGAAGAAATTATTTTTCTCTTTTCAGGAAAAGAAACCTAGGAGGCTAGGACCTCTTCCCAAACTCCCCAACCAGCCAACTGAGGTTAAGTCAACGTGATACAAAGTTCCACAAAGCATGTGCTGAGAGAGAGTATTCTTTCTTCTTCTTCTTTTCACATTAGGTTCATTTTCCAGAAGCAAGGTTTCCAATTGTCTCCGTACTAACAAGACATATACATGCATTACTTGCCTGAATGTATATACAAATAGAAATGCTGCGAACACTGATAGTTTGATCTCTTTTGTGGTTCATTAGGACCTAGGCACATATTTGCTCATTTTCACAACTTCTAAAGATGTTTTTAATCCACAACCAAAACTATAAATTCTCTTTCTAATATAATGTAAAATACACCCTCCTTCCTACAGCACTTATCTTTAAGGAGATAGACCCATCATGTGAAACCAAACAAGGAAGTGTGGTATGTAGGTTAGGACCCTCTCTTGCATAGCCATAAAAAGGAAGAACAACAATTTTCCCCACATTCATGTTGACAAGTTTACCTAGTAGCTTAATTGCTGCACATAAAGTTCCACCAGTGGCAATAAGATCATCTATGATTAAGGCTCGTTCTCCAGGTTGTACAGCTCCTACATGCATCTCCATTTTGTCAGTTCCATACTCCAAAGAATACTCTTCTGAGATAACCTCCCCTGAAAAGATGATCGAAATACAACCATACAAACAAATCAAAGATCTTCCCCATCATAGAAACTTCAAGAGCTTTCAACAACTGGAAATTAGCGCATGTGATGTGAAGAAGTAAAGAACTTAGAATTAGAAGACCATATGCTATACAGTGATTCAAAAACCTCAAACCATAATTATCTACTAAGTAGGAATTTCTGATATGGTTATATGCAATTATTTCAAAAGAAAGGTACAAAACATATACCTGGCAATTTATTGGGTTTCCTCATGGGGACAAATTTTGCTCCAATAGCTAATGCAATGGGTGGGCCAAATATAAAGCCTCTCGCTTCAATGCCTGCATTATGTCATAAATAAAGCTATAAGATACAAATTAGTAACTTAATATGAACAGATTCAAAAACAACAAAATTAAAAGAAAATGAACCATCTAGAATTCTAATGATTGGTATCTCTGCTTCTACTATCTTGTGATGTTGGAATGAAAAAAGATCCCAGTTTGGATGGAACAGAGTCATTGACACGAATGAATTACTCAATATAATCCTTAGTTGAACAGGTGCCTGATTTTTAGTCGTTCAAGAGATCATTCCAGTAAGCATTATCAACATTGAATTTGAAAACCATCCAGAGAAAAAAAATAAAATAAAATAATGACTAGTGCTTGTGTGTGCCCATTAGGCAAGGAAACAATGCCGCCACTTATCACAAATTGCAGATTAGAAATCGTTAATTGAAAATATATATATATATATATATCGGGGGGGAGGAGGGGGGTGGGGAGGAGGGTTTCATTCTTCTTCGCCTTCTACTTAAATCACACGCACACCTACTACACCCAATCTTGCAATAAAAAGTTTGGCTCTATGAGGGAAAATAAAGGATCTGGGAGTGTACAGTGTATGAAGATAGAAGATCGTGAGTTGATAGTAAAATATACATTTAAGTCCTGTTTAGATGAATCAAACCCTGGGTTTAGTACCAACTTAACATGAAATTATGTATAGAAAAATGGAAGTCTGGGAGAGTACCTGCGACAACAGAAATATTTTGATCTCTGTACCTCTCAACAAACAAGTCAATGGTATCTTTGAAAGCCTTTGTATCAAGCAGCAGCGTGGTTATATCTTGAAACATAATACCTACCATAAACAATGCAATATAACCATATAAACGAAACGAAGTATACATCTCTGAATCAGAAAAAAAAGAAAAGAGTATTAACCTGGCTTAGGAAAGTTGGGGATGACTCGGATTGCAGATGAGATTCTTGCCATACGTGGGTCTTGATCTTGAGCACCCTTGGAAGCCATTTCTGTAACTTGTGCCGAGTCACTAGCTGCTCAACCAGACACAAGTATAAATTGTCTTATGTTTCGACGAGACTAACGATTGAAGATTAATTAGAGAGAAATAACGAAATTAATTGGAATTTACAAGAACCAGTGGAGCGAAGAGGTCGACAATTTTGTAAGTGAAACGACGACGTTGTTGAATTTGTGATCCTTCGGAAGAGTGGGGGGAACCTAAGACAAGAAGAAGAAGGAGCAGCAGTGACGGCAGATCCAAACAACGAATTGGAGAGACACACAAGACTCACTGATTGCATTCTCTTGCTGCCTCACTTGTCATATATGAATATCACTTTTTTCTTATGGGTCACAACATACCATCTTAATTCTTTAAAATAAAAAAAAATAAAAAAATAACCAAAAGATAAAAAGGGAATGGAATCACTTGCAAGTTGCAATTAGAGTGTGCCAGTCTAGGCAGCTCTTAAAATTTATCTTTATAAATAAATCACTTGGGTGATACCGTAATAATTAAGGGTTTTTCCGTTTTTCTATTCATTGAACAAATATAATAAGCTTTAATGTTTCTAAAGCGAAGGTAGTTAAGTTATCTTCATTCATTGTTAAAACGATGTTATTTTGAGTTAAAAAATTAAAAAATTATAATGAAAAAGATTATTATAACCCTGAAATAACTTATAATTACATAAATATTTTGATTTTTGTCTCAAAACGATATCAATTTGGACTCAATATAGATAAGTTATCTACGTTCACGCGAACTCATATAACAATTAATAGGGAAGGGTATTTTGGTCCAACCGTCGGTCTGCGAGCTTTCCCCCACTGTGGTTCATGCCTTTCTCATTCTCCGTTTACTTTCGTTGTTTGGGTTAGTGAGGTCCACGCTGCTCTCTCGCTGTAGCTATTAGTTTTAATTTGGACTTTCTTATTTGCAGGTTTTAATGGTCACACAATTTTTATTTTTTTTAATTAAGAAAATAAATAAAGGGTCACATTAATTTCCCACACAATCAATGTGAGACTATATATTTCAACACGCCCCCTCACACAAGAGCCCTTTAGGCTAGAAGCGTGGAAATTGCACAGGCCCAATTTTTGGTTTACCTTTTTGTGTTTTTTATTTTTAATTCCACTAATCAATGTGAGACTATATATCTCAACACGCCCCCTAACGCAAGAGCCCTTTGGGCTAGAAGCGTGGAATTGCACAAGCCCAATTTTGGTTTTCCTTTTGTGCTTTTTTTTTATTTTTAATTCCACTTTAAAGTGGGGGACGGTAAGGATTGAACTTGTGACCTTATAGTCACTTAAGCTCTGATATCATGTAAAGAACCTTGAGGTTAAAGAACCTTGGGATATACCACTCCAAAAGCTAGCTCAAAGGGTGAGAGTGTTCAAGGCCTTATAAAGGCCACATTAGTTGTCCACACAATCAATATGGGACTATATATCTCAACACGCCCCCTCACGCAAGAGCCCTTTGGACGAGAAGCGTGGAATTGCACAGGCCCAGTATTTGGTTTACCTTTTCGTGCTTTTTATTTTAATTCCACTTGAAAGTGGGGGACAATGAGGATCGAACTTGTGACCTGATAGTCAACTCAAGCTCTGATACCATGTGAAGAACCTTGAGATATATTCCAAGGTTCTTTACATGGTATCAGAGCCTCACCGTCCCCCGCTTTAAAAAGTGGAATTAAAATAAAAAAAAAGCACAAAAAGGTAAACCAAAAATGAGCCTGTGCAATTTCCACGCTTCTAGCCTAAAGGGCTCTTGCGTGAGGGGGCGTGTTGAGATATATAGTCTCACATTGATTGTATGTGCAACTAATGTGGAGTTTATAAGGTCTTGGGTACTCTCACCCTTTGAGCTAGCTTTTGGGGTGTGTATCCCAAAATTCTTTACAGTTCAAAAATATATTAGTTAAAATTAGAACGCTAGTAACAATTTTCTAAAGACTTAGAAATAAAGTGGATAATTTGTATGTTAAATTTAAATACTTGCTTAAATTTTTCATAGATTTTAAATTAACTTTTTTTTGTGAAATAGTTTATACTTAACATTTTACTGAAAGAGTTTTTAAAGACAACATAACTTTTTTGAAAATTTAATCAAAACCAAATATACATAAAACGTGTTAATAGGCAACAAAGCAAATATGAATAAAATCGCCCGAACAAACATAACGTATATTTATTTATTTTGTACATTGAATATATTGTTTTAATAGCAAGGTTATTCAATCGAAAGCATTAACAGAGATGAAATAGAAGTGTGACGGAACCTTTTGCCAAATACGTACGTTGTATGGCACAATAGCAATTTAAATTTATTTATTTATTTATTTGGCATCTGATTAATAATAATAATAGCAGCAAAACCCTGCATAACTTCCAATCCGTAAATAAATGAATAAAAAACCGATCTGAAAAGAAAACCCAGCTCAGTGTTGATGGTTTCGATTCGTAGCTCACAGTGACATGTGGGCTGAGGGGATGAATGATCAAAACGTCAATGAAACGGCATCTTATCATGGTTCCTTACCTTTGGACGCCACCATTATCAACCATGTGAGGGGATTTCTTTATAACTCAGTTGTTTGGTCTTTTACTTTGACCAAATGTTAAAAGAATAAAGTTGCCATCATTTTGGGCCCTAGAGTGTATATAATATTTGCGTCATGCGTGATTGCATGCCCCCAAACACCTCATTCATGAACATGTCCTTTTTCCTTTTGCTAATTACTTGCTGTAACAAAATATCATAAACCGAGACACTTTTTGCAAACACTTACCGTAACAAAACGGAGAAGGATTTGTTTATAAATTTTTTGTATAAATTTTTATAAATTATATTATTTTCTCCGGAGAGAAGATATAGCGTAACTAGCGTTTTTCACAAAAAAGATAGTGTAATTTGTGAAAGTTTGTAAATAAAAAAGTTTGTAAATATAATTTACCCTTAATAAAATATCACAAACTGTGTTACCAGAAAAAAATGGGAAACATTTTCTCCTTTAAACAGAAAAATGTCTTTTTCTTTCTGCAGAGACAATCCTAAGTGGACACTATATTAAATATTTTTTCTGCCCCACTAAAATTATGAGTGTGTAGGAATCAACAAAAATGTCCTAAAAAAATGTTTTCCCCAAAAAAATATCATAAACTGAGACAAAAAATGCCAATAGGCAAACGAACCCAGTAGTCCCAAAAGACTTTAGTTAGGCCCAGTTCCGACGCCAACCAAGCCCCCTTTTTCTATTGTCTAATTATGAAAGAAAAATATCTGACACATTACTTTTTGATCTCACATATTTATATGGGATTAATATTTTTTCTATTATAATAAATAATTTTATTTGTTATACATATAAAAATATATGGGTTTATGTGGGGTTAAATGAATAGAAAAGAGAAAAAAAATATGCTTTCCACATATTTTTATATATATGCAATAGATAAAATTATCTCCTCTATAACATGTGAAACATTAATAGTTTTTTATATATTATAAAATTATTTTTGATGCAGATAAAATTTAACATTGTTTTAAAAGCATACATTTAAATTCAAATTTTGATGCTTTTGATTTTACCATAATATTTGATATTCTATATTAATTTAATTGGAACGTCATGTTTTTAAGGTATTTTTTCTTATCGAAATAATTTTTTTTAGAAAATCAAGATAAATATATATTTATAATACCCAATGGGTGCAGCTCAGTTGGTAACTTGGCGCTGAGTTAGTGGAGTTGGATATGTGTTCGATTCCCGCTGAATGCATTCTTGGGGAGGGGGCTGAACCTTTAGCCATCACTGTTCCCCGGAGGGAGCCAACTCGTCTCAAAGAGATAATTAGGGTTGGGTAACTCCAAAAAAAAAATATTTATAATATATACGAAGAGTAATCTTCCCAGAGCAAAGTTATTATTTAACTAATTTACCAAAAAAAAAGTTATTATTTAACTACGTTTTAAAATATATTTATGGTAATGAATATGTTGACAGGATCGGAAATTGAAAAGGGATTTGTCAAAAATGAAAATGTTGAAACCAACACATTATTGGACAGTATTATCTCAATAAGGTATAAACTATAAAGGACAACAAAACATAATTGAGGATCATGGAGATGTCTCATCTTGTTTTGAAATCAAAGCCAGTCGAGTTATATCTTTCTGAGTACTTGTTTGCGCGTTTGATTTTGATATCTCTCTCGCACAGTTTAGTCAAATGAATGTTAGTTACAACTGTCAAAAGGATAAATCAGTGAAAAGTCTCATATTGATTAAAAATAATCAAATAAAGACCATAAGTAAAAAAAAAGCCACACAGAGTTTGTGATTTGCTATGAGAATGGTTGAAAATATAATTCAAAGTGCGTGTGAGAAGTCTTGTATTTGTTAAAAAAAAATCAAGTGTGTTATAAAAAAAAAAAAAAAAAAAAAAATCAAGTGAGCACCGAATAGAGAAAAAAAAAATCTTTTTATCCATTTTTTTTATATTTTTCTTTAAGTCTTAAATAGTTTCCTTTTTTAGTAATGGGAGTATCAAACTGCTCAGTGCACCAAATTTTTCTCCATATATTTATTTGTAGAGGTGTGCATAGATAGAATTGAACTGAATTTTTTGAAGAATTGAACCGAACCAAATTGGTTTAAACGATTCGGTTCAGATTGAAAATGGCTCGATTCATTTTGAAAATCAGTTCGATTCAAAATTGGTTCGGGTCAAACCTTTTCTGAAAAAAATAAATAAATAATAGAGAGATAAAACGGTTCGGTTCAGTTTAAAATTGATTCGTTTCGATTTTTGAACAGATTTTTAAAATTCAATTTGTTTCTTAAACTGGTTCTTTAAAAATCAGTTTGGTTCATGAACTGATTTTCAAAAATCAATTATTTTAAGAGCAATTCGGTTCAGTTCACAATTCAGTTCATTTTTTTGATTCTTTTACACATTCCTAATTATTAGTATTATATTGAAATTTTGGAATATTATATTCTAAAAATTAGAATGTAAAGTGTTATTTTCATTTTTTTTTCGTACATGAGTGGTATTTGTCTTGATTCATGTTTGGTCAACTAATTTTGGTTCCTATTGACCGTGGAAATAGTAGGGCCAATCCAAAAAGAATAAATAAATAAAAAATAAAAAAAGTAGTTTTACAAGTGCACGTGTGAATTTGGAGGCTTCGTGAAGCTTTCCGAAATACCATTCCCATGGTTTCTAGATTCTTATCTACACGAAGTGAAATCAAGTGCAAACGAATTCGGGAGTGTGCCCAACATCCCCCATTGGTTGAAAATTAAAATCCCAGCCTTGGGGCCCAAGCATATGCTAACACGCACGTGAGTCCTGAGTCAAAATTCAAAACTCTCGTCCAAACAAATTTGAAC